CTACTATACTACTACTACTACTACTACTACTACTACTACTACTACTACTACTACTACTACTACTACTACTACTACTACCACTACTACTATACCACTACCACCACCACTATACCACTACCATTACCACTACTACTACCACTACCACTACCACTACCACTACTACTATACCACTACCACCACCACTATACCACTACCATTACCACTACCACTACCACTACCACTACCACTACCACTATCACTACCACTACCACTATACTACTACTACTACTACTACTACTACTACTACTACTACTACTACTACTACTACTACTACTACTACTACTACTACTACTACTACAAGCCTGGAAGGAAGGACACAAAAGAGCACTCCGATCACCTTTAATCGAACTAAGACCTGAACGTGCTGAGTGTCCTTTCAACCGGCTCCTACTACTACTACTACTACTACTACTACTACTACTACTACTACTACTACTACTACTACTATAGTACTACTACTACTACTACTACTACTACTACTACTACTACTACTACTACTACTACTACTACTTCTACTACTATATTACTACTACTACTACTACTACTACTACTACTACTACTACTACTACTACTACTACTACTACTACTACTACTACTACTACTACTACTACTATAGTATGTACTACTATATTATAGTACTACTACTACGACAACTACTCCGCTCCCAGGCAAGCGCCCGAAGCAGGGCCACGAGGTCCGCTTTTTCGTGGACCAAGATGGGCAAAAGTGGCCGCCCGGTGCCGGTCGCAGCAGAGCCCGAACCAGAGCCGGGGCAAAGGAACAGGCTGCGAGATCTTTGCCAAGAACTTTGGAGATCATCGACACCATGGCCACGACCCAGAGGCCTGGGGGTGCTCACACATAGGGTGTTTGGCTGACAGAACCTCTCGACCAGGATGACAGTGGAGGCCCTGATCGGCAGCGGTGGCGGCTCTTCCGCGAGTTCCTCGTCACGACAGGACTATAGTTCTTGAGGCAACTCCAAGTGTGTGCCGTTCCATTGTGCATGGCAGGAGGACAAGGGCGGCTGGTCCAACAGGGTCACATGGACCAAGCGGTGGTGAGGCCGGAGCATCACCCGTACTGTGTTGTGTTCGGGGTCCCCAAGCACAGCAGTTTATCAATTGAGAAACGGTTGGCCCCCAGACCCCGCAGAATTTCTCAATTGAGAAACCGCTGGCTTAGTTTATATAAGCCCCAGCCATCAGTTTATCAATTGATAAATTTTCCGGCCCCAGCCCGCCAACCGTTTCTCAATTGATAAACTCCTGTGCTTTTGATGGCATTGGTTTGTGCTGTGTCTGGCTGCTTCGGTAGTGCTGAACCCACGGCATGTCCCAGGACTCGCCACCGAAGGCCGTGATCTCGGCTCCTGTGAAAAGCTAGATGGTGGGTCCCAGTTGCCGGCAGAATCCTGGATCAAGGTCGTTCGGGACCGGGGTGCCGACTGCACATTTTGCACTCCGGGTCTGGACCCCAGTTTGTGCAACACCCTTGGACTGTGCCTCCACCTGGTCTCCTGCAGGTCCTGCCTCCAGGGCTGAGCGAAGGTCGGCTGCAGACGTGCAGGGTCCTTTCCTGAAGCTCCGGCCACCGCCACCACCACCACCACCGCCACCACCACCACCACCACCGCCACCACAACCACCACCACCCACACCATTGCACCACCACCGCCATTGCACCACCAACTTTTTTGCACCACCACCACCGTTGCACCAACCACCGTTGCACCACCGCCACCATTGCACCGCCACCACCACCACCACCATGCACCACCACCACCACCACCACCACCACCACCAACACCACCACCACCACCATTGCACCGCCACCACCACCACCACCATGCACCACCACCACCACCACCATGCACCACCACCACCACCACCACCACCACCACCACCACCACCACCACCACCACCACCACCACCACCACCAGCAACAGCAGCAACAACAGCGACAGCAACACCAACAGCAACACCAACAGCAGCAGCACCAGCAGCGGCAACAAGCTCCATGGAAGGATCTCTGCACAGTCTCTTTAGGTTGGGCTCCCGTCTCCTTGTAGATCTGAAATTGGCCCGACCCCGGCTTGGTCTCACCTTGGAAATCGTGCGAAGCGAAGTTGAGTTTGAAAGGTGTGACCTGCCCTGGCGAGCTTTCAGCCCTGCCTGCAGTCAGAAAGAAAGGCAGTGAATAGAGAGAGAGAGAGAGAGAGAGAGAGAGAGAGAGAGAGAGAGAGAGAGAGAGAGAGAGAGAGAGAGAGAGAGAGAGAGAGAGAGAGAGAGAGAGAGAGAGAGAGAGAGAGAGAGAGAGAGAGAGAGAGAGAGAGAGAGAGAGAGAGAGAAAGATCAACAAAGACAGGGAACACCAAAAGTACGAACCCGGAGGCAAAGAAAAGACTGAGGAGGGGTGGGTGGGTGCATTGCATGGTGGGTGGGTGCAGGTGCATGGGTGGGTGGGTGTTCGTGGGTGGGTGCTGGTGGGCTGGGTCGGTGGCCGGGGGTGGGTGGATTGTGTGGGTTCCATGCAGTGCATGCACGGGTCGTGCAGGGATGCAGTGGACCAATTGCAAGTGCTGTTGTTGCAGGTTTGTATGTACATTGTTGCAGTCATTTTGTAGCTCAGAGCCATCGCTTGCAGGGCTTCCAGCTCGCAGGCAGTCGATCTGTATATATAGGGTATAGATATTTACAGAGCCATGCCTGCAGCTACAAGCACTGCCGTGGATAAGCTCACCGGCGACATCCAGTCCACGACTGCCTTTCTAAAGACCATGCAGGGCAATGCGTGCTTGGCTGGTGTTCGTGAGACACAATGCCTTGCTTTGTCACAGCGACTCCAAGGCTTGCAATGCACAGCCGAGGAGGGCACCAACATCATGGCAGCATGGCAACAAGGGCCGTGGTCAAGCGAGCAAACCGAGAAGTTTAGCCAGGCTCTGAGTGCGAATCAGCTGCCCCTCGGAAGGGTCTGTGAGGATGATCATGGCAACCCTCCAGCTTCAGGGGACCGAGGCTGAGAAGTATGCCCATGCCCAGACCTTCAAGAAGCTGCTTAAGGCCAAGGACAAGAAGATGGTCAAGGGTACCCACCTCCTCGTGTATCCTGCTGGTGGCCCATCCGAGCTAGCCGATCAGCAACTGGCAGCACAGGCCTACGATGCTGACGACCCCCCTTGCAGCCAGGCAAGTCAGAACCCCAATGCCCTCGCCTCGTCTGCCCATGGCTTGTTTGTGAGGAAGTCAGCCAAAACGGTCAGGGACAGCATGGGCACGAACATGGGTGGATCATCCGGCTGGGCATTTCCAGGGATGCCCAACTTCATGAACCCTGCAGGCGGCATGAACACCATGATGGGGATGCTGCAGTGCATCCAGGCAATGCAGAGTCAAACAACACAACAGGGTGGATTGCCTGGGCTGCAGATCTTCACTCCGGGCACCAACAAGGTGAATGGAGGCACGGGCCCACAGACCCTGCCGGCGATTAGTAATGGTGGCCCGTCCTCCCCGACTGCAGCAGCGATCGCGAATGGGGCCCCCAGCTCGGGGAACACGTCTGCAGGCGCTTTGCCGTTGGCAAACACCCCGACAAATGCAGGAGGAATGCAGCTGCAGATGGAGGAGGAAGAATACCACGACCCATCAGCAGAGCAGGAGAAGAAGGACGACAACACCGCCACCGCCGGGAAGACTCAAACTGCAGCAATGGGGTGCATGCAGAAAGTCGCCGATGCCTTGCAAAGCAAGAACAACAAGAAGCCCGCCAAGGCAAAGGCCAAGGCCGGGAAGACGAAGGCCAACCAGAAGGCAGCCAAGGCAAAAGCCATGCCCGTGATGAAGAAGCCCGCAGCAGTTTCGAAATCGAAAGGCCCAAAGGGCACAGCACGGCCAACCCGTGAGTACTATGCACAGCTGAGCTATGCGAAGAGAGTGGCATTGAGGCCGGAGGGGTGCAGCAAGTGTCGTCGTCGACCGGGATGCACTCCGAGCTGCTTCGCAAATGCCTGAAAGTGCATCGCCATCATGGGGGCTTGAAAAGATCGTGTCCATTGGTTTTGTGCTGCACTTCTGCCGGCATGCATCAGCTTTGCAGTCAACTTGTGTCGTGCTGCATTTCTGCCGGCATGCATGAGCTTCACAGTCAAGTTTTGCAGCTTTGCAGGGACGGTGATGCATCGAAGCATTCTGTGTGATGTACATATTGATATGCTGGTATGTATATGTGTCTGTATATCTATGTATGTATACACGTAGATGTATGTACTGTCTATATATATATATATATATATATATGTATGTGTATGGATATATATGTGTATATGTATATATGTATATGTATGTAGATATGTACAGATGTAATTATGTAGAAATGTTTATATGTATGTATGTATGTATGTATGTATGTATGTATGTATGTATGTATGTATGTATGTTTCATGTATGTATGTATGTATGTATGTATGTATGTATGTATGTATGTATGCATGTATGTATGTATGTATATGTAATGTATATGCATCTATATATACATATATATATGTATATATATATATATATATATGTATATACATATACATATATATATATATATATATGTATATATATATATATGTATGCCTGTATATTCTTATATTATATATGTATGAACATGTTTATGTTTATGTATACACATATGTATCGGTGTATATATGTATATGTATACACCTATATACATATTTAAATGTATAGAGATATGTTTACAAATAGATAGAGATCCATTCACACATACAGACATACATACACACATACATGCATATTCACAAGACCTTGCAATCTTTGTTTCTATAGATATTTTTTATTTATACACATATATATATATATATATATGTATTAGAATATGCACACACATAATACCATTCCGCTTGCAGGGCTTTGGAGCTCGCAAGCAGCACATATAACACAGGAAATAACATCATGGCTGTTCCTTTGGCTGAGTTGGGCAGACGGCACTTCGTTTCGCAGGCTGCCCTAGAATCAGTCCTGCAAGACCTTGGCCACGATGACGGCACGAGCAGGAGAAGCATCAAGAGAGCCCGGGATGAGCAGGTCGCAGTGGAGACCGACTTCGGGCACTTGCTGAGCCACATTGAAGTGGATGTGCTAGAGAAAAAGCAAGTTGCAAAGGTGTCATTACCGATCCTGAACATTCGGGCCTTTCTGGCACATCTTTGCAAGCGCCCTGGCACTGCAGCATTCTTCGCGAGGCGACATGCAGAAATGCCAAGCTCGGCTGAGAAGGCATGACGGATTTGCTTATATTGTGACGAGATCACTCCGGGGAACCAACTACGGTCGACGAATCAGAGGAAAGTCCATGCTTTCTACATCAGCTTCTTCGAGTATGGACCAGAGGCTAGATGTCAAGAGGAGGCATGGTATTGCATCTGCCTTTGCAGAAGCCAGCTGGTCAACAAGATGGTCGGAGGCCTTTCGGCATTAACCCATGCCATCGTCACCATGCCTGACTTCGCAGCATTGCCGAATGGATGCTTGCTCACCCTGCCCAGTGGCGAAAGGCTAATGTTTTTTGCTCGCATCGACACGTTCCTTGCAGACGAAGGTGCTATCAAGTTAGTCTTTGACATAAAGGGGGCCTCAGGCATTCTCCCATGCGGTCTGTGTGCCAACGTCGTGGGGAAGACTGGAGTGGAGCAACACGATGCCTCTGGTTCTCTGTGTACGATTGCATGCACCGATGTTCGTCGCTTCATCTTCAAGACGGACGACGACATATATCAGGCACATGCACAGATGGAAGCTATGCATGGACGATGCTCGCAGGCACAATTCGAGCAGATGCAGAAGGCTTGTGGCATCAATTTCAACATGCAGGGTGTTATTGCAAAGAAAAGTCTGCCCTTGGTGCAAACATGCATGTATGACTTCATGCACATCTATTTCGTGCATGGATTGTTTCACCTAGAAACTGGCATGCTTCTGCCACAACTATACCATGCAGGTTGCTCACCGGAGGCTATCTTGGATTTCATGAAATCCTTCACCTGGCCTCAGAGCCAGCAGGGGATCATCAAGGAAACCCTGCAGTGCTTCCAAAAGAAGATCGAGAAGAGCGAGGGCTTCAAGGGGAGTGCCTCCCAGTGCCTCAACTGCTACCCTTTGCTGCGAGCATACGTGCTGAGCCTTGCTCCCGGGGCCATCAGTGCAGAGGTGAAGAAAGCTTGCAAATCCTTTCTCAATTTGTGTCTCGTTCTTGATATGCTCATGGAAGGCAATCGTGGCCAGGTGCTTGTCCCAGCAGAACTGCAGAGGCTCATTACCCAGCACTGTCAGGGTTTTATGGAAACTTATGGACCCGAGAGTGCGATCCCGAAGCTGCACTACTCGATGCACTTGCCGATGATGCTTGCTGCAAAGAAAACATTGGTTTCTTGTTTCACCCACGAGCGAAAACACAGGGCCATCAAGGAGTTGGCCAACCATCTGAACAACCCGGGCACATGGTACGAAGCATCGATGATGAAGGAAGGTCTAGGCAAGCTTGTGATGGCAATGACCAGCGGACCTGCATTTGCTATGGAAGCCCATCTCATCTCGCCAAAACTGGCAGATGAAAATCTGTTGCGAGTGCTCGCTCAGACCTTCGGCCTTGCAGGTGCTCACAATGCACAGGCCTCATCTCGTGTTCAGGCTGCACCGGGGCAAGTCTGCACAAAAGGCGATTTCGTGATCTTGAAAGCCGGTGGAGTTGCAGAGGCCTGGTTGTTCTGCAGGTTGGGAACTGGAGAGTTGCTGGCTTTGCTCACCGAGTTTGAGGCATGTGGGCGAAACGTTTTCAAGAGAACGGCAGCCGATGATTTATGCAGGTGGTTGACATTAAGAGGGCATGCCTCGTCAAAAGACTGGGGGCCGACAAAGTGCAGGTTGTGCCTTGAAAAAACCGGGTGCACTGCCTGCGAGCAAGCTGCCCTGCATGGCGAGTTCATGATTGTTTCGCTTGATGTGCAGACATATACATATAGACGTATATGTATGCATGTATGGGGTTTGTGGTTTATGGGTGTATATTTTCAGGATGTGTTATGGTATAAAGGTGTCTATATACAGATGCTACATGAGTCTAATTTCCAGAGTTGTTGTTGAAAAGGCCGATTCGCTTTTCAATTGTGCAGCCGAGTGGCTGGTGAATAAATTTAGTTTATACAGTTTTGCCCACGGAATCACAACTATACATGATTGTTGTTTTGGCCAACTTGCAGTGTCAATAGCAGATTGTTTCCAGCAAAGACCTGCACAGATCCTTGGCTCCTTGTGTTATTTTTGCCACTACATGCTCCTGATTTTGACCTGCATGCTTTTGCCGCATGCACGAGATTGGTATGCACAACGATGCCTAAGTCACTTAGCTAAGTATGCGATTTGAGTTAGCTATGTTCAACTTAGCTCGCTTGTATATCTTCAACAAGTTCGACTTAGCTAACCTCGAACTAACCGCTCTATGTACTTACTTTATGCACTAACCATATACTAACCCACCCGCCCTGTCAAGCAGGCGGCGCAGGGTGGCGCAGGGGTGGCGCATGGGGGCGCAGGGTGGCGCAGGGGGCGCCGGTGGCGCAGGCGGTCACGGCCCAAATCCGGCCACGCTTTACACCTGCACTCGCGACCACCATTGCTAGCGGGCTTTTGCCGGGGTCCTTCCTTGTGCAGTTGGGCCTCTCGCCTTCAGTTGGGCTGAGGGTATTCCACCGGCGGACTGTGCTGGATCCTGCCCAACATGTCATTTTGACCAAAGGCGATACTGTGTTCATCCTGCCCCCTGGGGGCGTGCGCCCCCCGTCCCAGCTCTTACCCGACATGTTGCGCAGCACGGGTGGCTGGCGCGTACCTCTCGACCCGCCGCGAGGGTCTCTCCAGGTTCCGTTTTGCCTGCTGACTGATTCCCCTCCAGGGACTATGAGCCATGCTATGCTTGTTGAGGTGCCTGTCCATCTGATTGACACTGGTGATGACCTCCGTGCTTTTTTGGTGGGCTTTCTTCGAGGGGATCTGGAGAGCTTTTCCGTCTTTCGGCTGGCGCCTCGGGTGCGTGATCTGTGTTTGTTTGGACAGGCCTGCATTGATGTGCTTGTTGTCACAGAGCGCATCTCGCGGCTGCCATGCCCGCCCAGGCTGTGGTCTCCTCAACAGGTGCCTTATGTGCTCGACCTTCGCCCGATCCTTCGTGGTATTGGCTGGAGGTGTGCTGTTGGAGGTGAGCTGAGTTTAGATGCACTCATGGCTGAGTTTGGCCCCGCCCCCTCAGGCTTCTATCTTGAAGTCGGTGGGGGGGCGCCCTTTTCTGTGGGGGACCGCACATTCCTGCGTGTCGACCCAGGCCAGGTCTTGACACTGGAGTTTTTGCGATGATATGGGGTCTGCCGGGTCTTCGCCAGATGCGGGCGGTTCTGATGGGGATGGCAGCGATTCTGAGGACTCGAGTTCCGACGATGAGGCGCCTCCGCCACCTCCCCCGCCTGTTGGTGCAAGGAACCGCTCCCGCAGCCGCCCTTTCGATCGTGCCGGTCCAGCTCTTGGGCTACGTGGTGCTACCCTGGCACCCTTTGCTGCTTCTGCTTTCCTCCCCCCCCGTGCGGCTTGCCAGGCTGGAGGCTGGGGTACTTGTTGGCCGAGCCGATTGGATCCTGTGGGGGCTTGGCTGGAGTGTTGCCCTCGGTGCTCTGTTACTCTATGTCTTGGGGGGGCCGTCAAACAACTAATCATGCCCTCTCTTAACTTGAGGAATGTCAAGCCTTATCGGGGCATGTTGAAGGCTTCACAGGGTTAGGTTTCCACGATGAAGGGGAGGTGGTTTCCACATGATTCGGGCGCGAAACGAAGAAGGTTTCCACATGATTTGGCGGGGCACAGCAACCTTTTTCCACGCCATTTGGGTGTGGTGTTAGATGCGTATAAGTCGCTGTTTCGGCATGCAGGAGGAATTATTTCCACACCATTTGTAGGTGGATTCGATCCAGGTTCTGAAACAGATCATCCTCCATCAACGAGTCTGCGGCAGTAATTTTAGCAGGTCGATGGGCAATCATGTATTCATGTAGGCGGGAAGTAGGTTGTCGGGAGGGCTCAGGAGTGGTTATATACAGTGGTAAAGATAGGTGACGGTAAATGGATAGCTTCATGTATTGATGCGAGGCAAGACGGGATCGGCCTTAAAGCCCAGGGCCTTACGTCTTACATCTCGTTTAAAGCCAACCTTCAACTTCAATTCCTGTCAGTGTCCCGAACTCGAAGCCCGAAGCCACATCGTTGACGCATTTGCCTTCGAGTCTGAGCCTTAGGTCTTAACGGTCTTAACGACTGAAGCTTTAAGGTCTTAGACTTATAGGTTTTAGGTCTTGGGCCTTAGGTTCTTGGGGGCCCTCTGGGCCTTCTTTGCTCCCACCGTCAGCCCAGGATCCATCCAGGGCTTGGCGGAAACGGTGTGCTCTGATGCGGAAACATTTGTGGAAACATATGTCGTTTTGCGGAAAAATATGTGGAAAAATCTGCTTGTGTGCTGTGAGGGTTGCCAGTTCAATTCCTGCAGACGATGCTTCTGCGGAGCATGCCTCCCCTCCTGCCTCGGATAAGCTTCTCACTGAACCTAGATGCAGTAATGCTGGGCAGCGCAGGGAGCTTGATGCCTTGCGGCAGGCGGCCACCCTCCTGGGAGGGGAGTGGCCCTACATCCCAGCTGACTCTGATGATGGGTCCCTCCGGCCTGGCGTGCTGCATGATGGTGCTGGCTCGGAATGCACCAGACACCTGCACGGTGCGAATCAGCCTGCCGGCTACGTTCGCAGAGGCTATGGTACTGGTCCGCGAGGCCCGGGCAGCCCCTTGGGCTGCTGGATTCCCTCACCTTGTTGACGCTTCACCCCAGCCACTCGCGTGTCATGGGGTGCTCGTCTGCTGTCCGCACTGGAGAGGCGTCTCTCTTGTAGCGTGCATGGATCTCCTGCACCTGGACGGCCGCCTGTTCGCAGCGGACGTCCCACAGTATTGTGGCAGGTATGCGCTCTTCCGGCTTGCCCAGAGGGCCGGCCGGTTGTAACCGGGAGTCCAACGAAAAGTAACCGGGAGTCTGAATATGCATGAAAACAGGTATTGAAAACGAAAACAAAACTGTCAAGTTATGAGCCGTTCTGGGTGTTGGCCTGGCTTATGATAAGTCGTTATGGTGCTGGCTGTGTGCCAACAGCAAATGACTCAAACGTCGGTGATCCGACGATGAAGATGGCTCCGCTACCAGTGTTGAAAACCGTAAACCCTGAAAATTCCCCGTGAAGCCGTGAAGGTCCGCGTCCAAAAGCCTTGGCTTGGATTGCTCAGTTGCACAGATCAGTTTCGGGCGTGGACACCTTCGGCACCTCTGTCGACTTCGGCGCCACGGATGTATCCATCGGAGTCGTAATAGTGGGCATGGCAGCTTTGTAAATGGAGACCGGCGTAGGAGGAGGCGGTCCATTGTTTAGAGTTTAGATAGTGTTCGCCTTTATGCACCCCATAAATCCCGTGTTGCAACCCTTATATAGCAGTCAATTTTAGATACTCTTATAAAGCCTTTATTATAACCCTCGTAGAACCGTTTGTAGACCTTTGAACCTCTCTCTCTCTCTCTCTCTCTCTCTCTCTCTCTCTCTCTCTCTCTCTCTGTCCCCCCGCCCTAATTAGAATCTAGAAGCGGCAGCCCTTGCCGCTGGCGGCTCGTTCCGCCAAACTAAACCCCAGGCGTTCGCCAGCTGCCGCCGCAGCCGCTGCAGCGAAGCACAGGCCTGCACACATGTCTAAATTCTCCTAGTCTTTTGATTGGAGAGAAATTCTGGTTAGGGTTTGGGGGTTTGGGGTGTGGGGTTTTCGGTTCCGGGTGTATACGGTTTGGGAGGAGTCGGTTACCAATAGGATTGAGGGACTTGAACTATGATAAGTAATCTAAAGTGATTGCACCGGGCCAGCCAGCACAGCATGGGACATATTTTTTCCTTCGGCGGGCTGGGAGGTGTGTCCTTTCAAAGCCCGGATTCCGCACCGGCCACCGGCGCAATGCGATAATTAAGGTCATATCGCTTTGCGATATGAAAAGACACTTGCATGAGGCCTTTGTCACGCCTCGCACAGAAAACAACAGCCGGCTAGAAGCTTGCCAGCCCTCATCGCTGTGAATCCCACATCACTCTTCACCTTTTCTCGGTTGTCCTGCGGGACCTGCTCCCTCATCGCTGTGAATCCGGCATCACTCTTCACCTTTTCACGGTTGTCCTGCGGGACCTGCTCGTGGAGGACCACCTGCACCCCATTGGGGTGCGGGAGCGACTTGCACAAGAGCTGGCGCCTGCTGCGGAGGGGGCGGCGCCATCTGCTGCAACAACTGGGTGATCGTCTGGACCGTTGCAAATTGCATGTTGTAGACCGGGCCTGAGTGACATGCTGAATGAAAGAGTCCAGCAAAAATCTCACGTATTGTTCACAAAATAAACAAAAAATAATTAAAGCCAAGATGCTGCATAACGAAGAAATGGTGTGCACCTCCAACATCACGGAATACCATATATCGCATTGCTCGCGAATCCAGACATGACGTGAGTTGCTGGCCCTAGCCATCATTCCTTCGAGCAGTTTGGTCATCGTTTCTGGGTTTTGAAGCCCATGAACTTGTACTGCCAACGGCGAGAGCAGCTGGAGCGTCAGCTTGGACACCTTCTTTCCTGAGCCGAGAAAGTGCTCGTGGAATTCATTGTGCCACCAAGTCTTCTCGTCGGGAGGAAGCATCTGAAACTCGTCGGCGTAGCTGGAAAGCCAGCGTTGATCTACCAGCCCGAGCTGCCTTTGCGCCTCAGTCCAGGCTTCCATGCACCGAAAGTACGCTCCGTTGTTCATGGCACAAAACACAGATCCGGCAGCCTACACTTCAGCAGCAAATTTGAGCCGCGAAACTTCACGTAACAAACAACTGTCAATCAATGCATCATGGCTGCCATCATCATCTCCCTCATCATCTCCGTCATTATCAACAGCACACCTTAAGGTTTAACTGGCTGTAGATTTGAGACGGTTCCAGGTTTTAGGTTTGGACAGACAGGGTGTTCAGGGTTAGAGGAGAATGTGCTGTCGCCGATGGTTTAGGCGGGGGCGGAACAAGCCGCCAGCGGCAGGGGTGCCGCTTCTTAAGCCCAGGAGTTCAAATTTGAGAGTTTAGGGTTTAGGGGTTTAGGGTAGTAGTAGTAGTAGTAGTAGTAGTAGTAGTAGCAGTAGTAGTAGTAGTAGTATAGTAGTAGTAGTAGTAGTAGTAGTAGTAGTAGTAGTAGTAGTAGTAGTAGTAGTAGTAGTAGTAGTAGTAGTAGTAGTCGTAGTAGTAGCAGCAACAGTAGCAGCAGTAGTAGTACAGTAGTAGTAGTAATACATACCACTAGTAGCTGGCTTGGTGGGGTGGGTGGGGATCGAGTGGTGAGCCCTACCGAGGGGGAGCCAGGTAATAAAGACGGCTCCTCCCGCACCGCTGGCCGGGTGTGGGGTGGCAGTCACATTTCCTTGGGCAGCCTCTCTTTGAGGCCAACGTGCCAGTGCCGGCACATGACAGCGAGGCAATGGGCTAACGTGCTCGCTGGGGAAAGGTTGCTCAAGGCCCTGCGGGAATCTGCAGGTGATGTGGCTGTTGAAGACGGGAGGCCCAGTACTGGTTCCAGTAGTGGTGGTAGCTAGTAGTAGTAGTAGTAGTAGTAGTAGTAGTAGTAGTAGTAGTAGTAGTAGTAGTAGTAGTAGTAGTAGTAGTAGTCGTCGTAGTAGTAGTAGTAGTAGTAGTAGTAGTAGTAGTAGTAGTAGTAGTAAGTAGTAGTAATAATAGTAGTAGTAGTAGTAGTAGTAGTAGTAGCCGCCACGGCTCAGACGTTTTGGAAGTTTCGCGCTGGCTTTTGAACAGGCTCTGGGTTCCAACCTTGCGTTGCTAAAGGTCTCAAACAAGCCTCTCTCCGAACGACTAAAGGTTGGTGCCCCACGCTGAGCCATGTGCCATGTGCCAACTGTTTGCGTCTGAGCCGCCAGGTCCCAATTCCTGGACCCAGTACCCTGTCTCAACACGGGCCCACTGGACAGGCGGTAGGGTTTCCACTAGCCGCGTGGTGGAGGGAGTCACTCGGCTTGCCTTGTGACGAAATAGCGGATGGCGCTGCTCCCAGTGCACTCACAAAATTATTCTCAGATCAGGAAGAATTCTTTCAAGCATGTTTGCCGACAGGTGGCTGCAAGCCAGCAGCCTGTTTCCTACCGAGGTCAGGTTCTGACCCCAGCTCTTCTCAGGCGCATGGGCAACTGCCCACCGCAGCCAGGTTCCAAACAGTCTTTTGCACCACGATTTAGGGCCGGACAGGCCACCAGGCCTCTTCGCGTACTGTCCTGGAACGCAGGCCATCTTGGCCAGCAACAATGGTCGGAAGTCAAATCATGGCTCTCCACTGAGGCACGCCACACCTGTGATGTGTTCGTCCTTCAGGAGACCCACTGGCAGGCCACGGCCGAATTTAGTGTTGCAGGCTGGTACTGCATCTCGTCTGCCTCCGCTGCAGATCCGAAGGCCTCTAGACGCAAGCAACGCGGGGGCAAGGCCCATCAACAGTCCCCGGCAGAGGCAATGCCTAATGATGACAAGACAACCCCACCCCGCAAGGAGCCCTCGACAACTCGAGCGGACGGGGTTATGGTTTTCCTGTCCCCACACATCCTGCCCAAGAGTGTGCGCTGGCAGGAACATGTCATAGGCAGAGCCCTGGAAGTAAGGTTTGACTGGCATGGGGCCCGCATGACGCTAGTTGCTGTCTCCAACACGTTTGGTCCCCGGCCAAGCAGGTGCAGACTAACCGTCAGGACAGAGCGCACGTCCTGAAGGCTCTCGGCCGATGCGTGCAGCGAGTGCCGCACAGAGACACGCTCATCCTGGCAGGAGACTTCAATAGCTCCTTACAAAAGCAGCCTAGGCTGGTAGGTCCCGAGACCATCTGCCCACAAGAACCGAGGCCCGACGAGCCAGAGCTAACCAACTTTCTACTCAATCATCGCTTAGTTGCTCTCAACACGTGGAGGCCTCAGCCGACACATACATTTCGGCAAGGGGAAACGCGCACTCAGTGCCCACGAGGGAGGTCTCTGCTGGTGGCAATGCCAAAGCCTCTACGCCGCTGGCGGATTTCCCGCTGGGCAGCTGGAAAAAAGGCGGGCACTTGCCCATAAGTGCCACTGTCAAGCCAGTTCGGCACTGGAACCTGCCTGCTCCTCAGCTACAGCAACATCACTACGACTCTGCTGCCCTGCAAGCAGCTGTCAGGGACAACACGTTGCCAGCCCAGCAAATGCTCGAGTGGGTCAAAGCACGCCTCACCCGGACATGCAGCCGGCGTCTTGGGACCGTCTCCTTGGCGAAGCGACATCTAGGTTTTTCCCTAAGACCCCGGTGGCAATGCCAGATAGTCCGGAAACGCGCGTAGCCAGACGCATGTGGCGCTCTGCGCGTGGGAGCAATGCTCACCCCTGAGCAGCATAAACAAGCGGTTAAGCGGGCTCGAAAATGCCAAACAAAGCGGTTTCTTGCTGAGGTGGATCAGGCTCTGAGCCAGGGCGACCAGCACCTTGCATATCAGACTCTCAAGCATCTCCGTCCGTGGAAACCGGCCTTGAAAGCACAGCTCAAGGACGAGCAGGGCTTCCTGCTCAGTCCCGCGAACGAACTGGATGAACTGAGGCAGTATGCAGCCAAGGTCTTCGCGGCGCACCCACAGCTTCCGTCAGATTCGGGACCAAGTTAGCGAAGCACATTGCCTCGATCAAACCTGGCAAGGCAGTTCCAAAAGGAGCGGCACCGGCCGCAGCCTGGAAACTTTGCGCTCAGCCGGTCTCAGAGGCGCTTTCACAGTACTGTTCCAGTCTGGCGCAGGACCAGTCCCTGGACGACGATCTGACTCGCGCGGATCTTTGCCTCATACCAAAACCGGGTAAACCGGCAGACAAGCCTTCCCAACTAAGGCCACTGGGCATCCTTCGCCCGGATGCTAAGGGACTGGCGGGCACGGCCAAGGAGCTCCTGGAGCCTCTCACAGTGCCGTACATGAAGCCACTGCCAAAGTTTGCGTACCTCCCTGGGAGAGGTCTCTCTGACGCACAGAGTAGAGTGGTTCAGCACTTGAGGGAAGCCAGGCAACTCTGTCGCAATGCGAATCTCACCCGAGCAGATCAACAGCGGGGACAATGTCCTGTGGGTCTAGTCGGCGGCATCACTTTCGCTCTTGACCTTTCCCAGGCATTCGACACTGTCTCTCGCAGTGAGATTCTGTCCCTGCTCGATGAACTGGGTGCGGACCCCTCCCTTCAGAAGCTCATACATGGCCTTCATCATCGGTCCAAGTACAGGCTTCACTCTCAGGGGGCCTACAAGGACATGGAAACCACCACGGGCATCAAACAAGGCTGCAAGTTGGCCCCCACGTTGTTTTCAGTGCTCACGGGCCGCCTTCTTCATAGGTTGATCAACACGTTTGGCTGGGACAATGTCCGCAAATACTTCACAGGATACGCGGACGACTTCACCATGCATCGCACCATCCGCAGCAAAGCTGACGTGGACGCAGCTCACAAGATGATCCTACAGCTTCTGTCGGAGGTGGAGAAACTGGGATTGCGCGTCAACCCGGCCAAATGTGCCATACTCGTCAAGCTTAACGGCAGGGAGGCGGAGGCCATGCTTCAGAAACACACCTGCTGGCTCCCCGACTCGGAGGGCAAGCTACAGAGGCATTGGCGCTTAGGCAGGCACAAATCTTTCCCTGCCTACAGACTTGAGACGCAAGTCAAGTACCTGGGCATCCAAATCTCCTATGGTAACTTTGAAATGCAGACGCTGCGCTTCCGCATAGCAGAGGCTGCCAAAAAGCTCCAGCAGGTTAAGCGATTCGTTTACAATCGCCGTACCGTGGGGCCCATGGCCAGGCTGAAGGTTTGGTTCACCACCGTATGGGCCACTTTGGTCACGGGACTTCCCGAAGTCGGCCTCACGGAGGAGACGGCCAGGCATCT